CAAGACTTGCCGGTTAAAAACTGAAATCACTCGGGAGGGCTTATTTAGCACCTCCGAGGCCATTTTACTAAAAGAACTTGGACCGAACGACTTGACATCGACAAGATCTCTCTATAATGAGCTTAACTATATAAACAGAAAGTAAATAAGGGTATACCCTTCAGTTCGGTCGAGGATTGCACGACGATGTGCGTGTGTGTTCGGTGCTCCACCTATGTCCTTATACTTCCCTTTTGCTTCGGCAATACTTAGATATCTTAGTGTGATTTTTCTAAATATTTTCCTTCACTATTTTCCCTCTTTTAGTATTCTGAAGTTGGCGTACATTTGTGCATGGAAATGCTTGAAAAGGACGAACTAGCTCGGTTTTTTATTGTTGGTAAAAGCCATAGGTGAAAGTGGGTCAAAAGGGGTGAAAGATGACCACACTTCCCTTGGCTACAAGTGTCTAAAACGTGGCTGCAATGTAGGTGAGTTTGGCTTAGTCATTGCCGAGGTGGAGGCCATGCACGGGCTTAGTCACCTCTCGTGCGTCCGTGGCGTGCCGTGTGTGGAAGCTACTAGGTGAATCATCACCCCACTTGCACACACAACGGTTATCCTTACATTTTTCCTCATGACAACACTAAGGTGGAAATTAGGTCTGATCATGTCACTAAGCGTCGCCTAAGTGCGTGCTTAGCGAGTACTTAACGCGCGCGCTAATGCGCTGCGCGGTGCTGCGCATGATGCGCGTTCATGTGCACGGCGGAGTGCACGGCATGCGTGCAAGAGTACATGCATGGTGTACCTTGTGCGTTAGTACCTTAACTTGAATTTTAACCTTGAACTTGAGTACATTCTCAACAATTAATCCCGATTAATAATGTCCGGTTATAAAATAAACGGTTCGGAAATTAATTATCGAATTTGACTCGGTTAATAACTAACCGGACAAACCTTTTTGACTTAACGTCGAACCTATTCGGTGAAAATGAACGGAATTGATAAAAGATAATACATCACTCTTATTAACAAAAGTTGGGTTATTACAGGCTCAGTCGAGATAGTCGGCTATAAGATGGTTAACATTTCTCCTTCTTCATCGCGCACTTAGACCCTGAAGGTTGACTGGGCTGAGTATGATCAGGCGTTATTAGATGGTGGTCTAGTAGTGCTCTGAAGGAGTCCCTAGGAAAACTCTCCTCGTCTCGACTTGATTCCTCGAGGTATTCCCCTTAGGTTATTAGATATTCCTGTGTATAGTACCAGTATTGTACCTATATCAATAATTACTCCTCTTGTCGACCCTCGCAAGATTGTATCCATAGCCTGCCCTCTGGCCAAATTGGCCACTTTAAACCCCTTTTCTTACGCTTCTATGGCTCAAGTCGAGAGCTTTAGGAAATTCAGCGGGCTTCCCTCCAATTGGGAGTTGGTTGCTCTAGGCCCTGACAGGGACTTCACCTGCCCCCCGCATGGTTGTCACACTTTTTTCGCCGACCAAGTCATTTTTGGTCTCCGCTTTCCTATCCAAGTCGAGCTTTTGGAGATAAGTGATCTGTACAGCATCCCGATAAATCAGTTTTCTCCAAATGCTCTCTGTATCATGATAGCCTTTATCGTTGTTTCTCGTATAGTTCTCCATTTTTTCTCGGCCGAATTTTTTCATTACTGTTATAGTTATCGACTTCAAAAGGGGGCTCATTGTTTAATCCGCCGTTCCGGCGTTACCTTTCTTGACGACCTTTCCTCAAATATCCCGAAGTGGAAGTCGAAATTTGTCTTCATTCGGCCTCCCGTCGGTGCTTATCCTTATGCAAATAATTCGATAAGTACTAAGGTTAAACAGAATAAACGGTCTCGATCTGAGAACTTTGAAAGACTTTTAGAGGAGTTGAATAAGTGTACTTATAGTGCTCGACGCATAATAAAAGACCGTGAGTTGGTTAATCACGCTCGAATCGTTCTGTGTGACGATATCTCTCGGCTCGATGATCCCCGTAAGCTGTTCAACATTCCTTACAATGTCGAGTTTTGTTTCTTATCTTCTTTTA